CAGCCCAACCTCTTCTGGTTTTTCTGGAGTTTTCTCTTTTTTTTTTTTTTTCATGTAATTCTCCATTGTTGGAAAAAATAGGTGCCAGAGACCTGAAAAATCTTTCATGTCCCTGATGTTCTGTGAACCTTGCTGCTGTTCTGTGGAAGTTAGAGCCATCTAAAGGTTTTATAGCAAATTTTTATATCTGAAAAGTTAGGAAATTAAAACACATTGAAGTAGTGTGTTTTAATTGATGTTGTACTCCAAGAAACACAGCTTTTGCAGCAGCTTGCAAGTCTGAATGTCAGCTCCAAGCGTGGTGATTGCTGCCATAACCAGGCTCATTAACTGCAGCAGAATTACTTGTGATAATACCCATTCCTCGCCCATAGGAAGATTTTCCCACATACAGCACTGAATTTAGCATGGAATAAGGAAATAGAATTTGGCTGGTGGAACTTTAAGGGAAAGGTTATACATTTTTTTTCACATTAGTATCTCATTTTGCTGTTCACACCACTGGTCTTTGATCAAATTAACATTTTACTGTAAGTAGAAGAGCACTCAGTTCATGCTATTCATTATCTTGTCAGGAAACAAGGAGAATAATTTAAACTAGATATATTGTGTAAGGCTTTTTTTTCTATTTTTAATTGGAAAGCACACGGCAGCATTACAATCGTGACCTCCTGGCTCCACTGTGAGCAGTACAATATTTACCTGCTGTATGAAGGAAAATGGAACTATTTTGAAATATTTTGTTACCAGGGAGGTAGTTCTGTTCTAGAAAACAGCAGGGTAGGAATTAGGAGGAGTTGTATGACTGAACTATGGTGAAAAATAGGATTTTGGGCAACACTGGATTTGCATGAGCTTCATCACAGCCATTAATGTGACTGTCACTGGTCATAAAGGGGATTTTTTAGACTGTGCATAGATTTGGGAGTAAGAAACCAAGAGTTTTAGCACTGACTGGTGAAAAGCAACTGTGCTGTGGCATATCCAGGGCCTAAAGGGACTCCAGGAGAGCAGGAGAGGGACTGGGGACAGAGGATGGAGGGACAGGACAGGGGGAATTATTTCCCACTGCCAGAGGGCAGGGCTGGATGGGATATTGGGCAGGAATTGTTCCCTGGGAGGGTGGGCAGGGCTGGCACAGGGTGCCCAGAGCAGCTGTGGCTGCCCCTGGATCCCTGGCAGTGCCCAAGGCCAGGCTGGACATTGGGGCTTGGAGCAGCCTGGGACAGTGGAAGGTGTCCCTGCCATGCCAGAGCTGGCACTGGATGGGCTTTAAGGTCCCTTCCAAATCCAGCCTTTCTGTGATTCTGTGAATCTCTCTGTGTTTCTCAGCTGAAGTGGGACAGTTTCACACAAACAGAAGGTTTTGTGAAGTTCCCAGTGGCTCCAAGTTGTGCAAGACTCCTCAGCTTTAGCCATTTTCCACACAAGGCGCCTGTCTCTGGCTGCACTCTTTTTCCTTACTTCGGGAAAAATTGTTCAACCATTTTTAAGAACAAGATTAGGGGAAAAAAATCCATTTTCCCCCAGATGTTACAAGTTTTTCTTGCTGTTTTGGTGAGGAGCCTGCTGTGCCCAGATTTAATAGAAGGGGTTTGACGAGGGACGGTTTGTTTTTTTTCTCAGGGTTGAATCTTCTGTTGCTTCAAGTAGAAAATAATTTTTAAAAAAATAATAATAAAAAAAAAAAAAAACCAGCCTCAAGTTTGGCCAGCCTATAAGAGTCTGGAAAAAAGAGTTCACAGAAACTGAGCAGAATCTGGTTTGAATTTGTTCAGGCTTTGCTGCCGGTGCCTGTCCCAGGCACGCTGCAGTCTGTGATTGCTCAGGCTGGGTGAACATTAACCAGGCAGGTTTTGCTTTTCCTGGGTGTGATTGAGGTTTTGTGGGGGCACAGGGAGGGGAGACACCCCCAGGCTGCCTCTGCCCTGGCTGGAGACATCAGCATGGGAGAAGGACAAGGAGAGGGCTTCGTGGTGGGGAGGGAATGGGGACAGACAGCAGGACAGGGACACTTGGAGGACCTTTTGTGAGGACATTTGGAGCAGAAGCAACGAGGAGAAGAGGAAGGAGGAGAAGAAGAAGGAGGAAATCGTGGGGGTAAGGCTCATTCTGGACGTTTGTGGATGTTCATTAGGTCGTGTGAGGTACGAGCTGGGGTTTGCCTGCCTGGAGCTGAAGGCACTGCAGAGCACAGAGAAAACAGAAATGGTGCTTCCAGCAGCCAAAATTAATTAGGAAGGGGACAGAGGGACAAGCAGAGAGGGGTGGCAGTGGAAGAGGCAAACCCAGAGGGTCTGGCAGGGGAGCAGCACTGCAGCCACTGCTTGGGAGAGGGCAGGGGCAGCTCCTGCCAGGCTGGGAGCCTCCAGGCAGGGCAGGGAGGTGTGCCAGGGGCTCAGGAACCCAGACTGCTCCAGGCAGGGCTTGTGCCAGTGCAGGCATTCATGTCCTGCAGCACAGCTCCCGTGAGCAGGGGATTAATGCCGTGGCAGAGGAGAGTGGGATTAGCTGGGAGCAAATGAAGTGCAGGGGTCACCCAGGGAACAAGGGGACAAAGCAGAAGATCCACTCAGCAAGACATGTTCCTCTCAGAGCTGGGTGGAGCAGGGAAATTGGGAAGATCTCACTGGAAAAGCCACAGCAGGTCCTGGGTGGTGCCATCCCACTCCTGAACCCTCTCACAGGGTGGCCAAGCACCAGCCTCGGGCTTGGCTTTTCCAAACTTGTAAGTGCTCAAATTTGAAACTACCATTCTTTTAACAGGGTTTTGTGTGTCATTTATAATTTATGTTGCAATAGCACCCAAAAGTGCTTTCCAGACACTGAGCACATCTGTAATGCTGGCTTCAAAAAGCTTCTATTCTGTGAGAGGGGGAAAAAAAAAAGGAGGAAAATTGACCAGTATTTCCCAAATAGAATTGCCCAGAGTTTGTGCTGATGTATTTTTAACAATGCCTAGTATGAAATCTTGTCTGGTATTATTCCTAGGATCACAACAGGTGTTGGGAATTGGCTGGGGAGGCTGTGCAGAAAGGGCAGCTGACAGCTCACTGTATATGCAGATGTACCACCTATTAGCAATATCCTCTGTGGTTTGCTCGCATGCGAGCTGAATAGATTCTCCAAACAATGCTGCACTGAATGGAAGCCATCAGCAGAATTGCTCAAGGCTGCAAAACCCATTACTTATACAGCAGTAGATGGAAGAGCAAGTGCCACAGTGTAGTAACTTGTCCTGCTTTGCTGGAGTTGTTCTGCAGTTATTAGATCAATATATGTAGCTGCACATCTAATAAAGTACCAGAAAATAATTTATCTCAATGTGTATTGTTAGCTCAGTATTTATCCTAATATCATCCAGCCACATAAACAACATAAATCCCTCTTTCTGTGCCTTTCTTTACTGCTGTTGCCACATTCTCCAAGCACACAATAGGTTATGTCCCCTGCTCTGATTATTGGAGCCATGTCACTGTACTTTTTACAATCACATTTTAATTACAGCTGTAGAACCTATGCAAAATCATTTAATACAATGTTGTGAGCAAATAGCACAGATGATGCGTTTAGTGTTTGATTGCTGTTAGTTTATTCATTGATTAAACATGCAGAGTCTGCTTTGACTGGTGAGGAAGTCAGAGACCACACACACACAGGGCTGTAGGGCTTATATTCACTGTAGGATTTCTATTTTCTATAGATTTTATATTTGCTATAGGTATTATATTCATTTTAGGTTTTATATTACTATAAATTGTGTATTTGCTATAGCTTCTATATTTGCTGTAATTTTGTATTCAGTACAGGCTTTATATTTGTTCTGTGTTCTATATTCACTATTTTAGATGACCTAGGTAATCCAAAGGATTAGCAAGGAGTCTGTGGCAGTTTGGGTGGCTCAAAAATGGCAGTGGTAATTTATCATTCCATAAAGGAAGGGATCCAGCAGCTGGTCAAGAAAAGTTTTGACCTTCACTGGTGGCAGCTGATGGATTTGGTAGAATTGGTGATAGGTCTTGGAAGTGGAGATAGAAAATTATTTTGGGTATTTTTGGAAAGCACAGCTTGAATTGCGTGGAGTAGCCCAGGCAAAAAGCAGTGGTTACTCAAGGAGAGAAGTAGTGTGGTTTTATAACAATAAAATACATTTTTTGAAAAAGAGAGAAGACAGTCTTGCCAGAAGGAGTGTGTATTGTAAAAGAACCAGGTTTTGTTCCATTTCTAACAGAAGCTTACAGGCAGTTATGAAAAGGACTTTGCTGCTATTTATTGCCTGAAGTTACTGATCCATCTGTCTCTACCCCAACTCTCGTACAGACAATTTTTCCTCATCATTCTGTCTTTCTCCTTTCTATTATTATTCAATATTTAGATGGGAATTTTGACCAGTGGCCAAGTCAGGGGCTTATCAGCTATTGCATAAATCCTCAGCAGCTGGTAACTGAGCTGTGCAAAATTGTCACTTTAGGGTTAAATATTGTTGAATAAATAGACCTGCTGAAAGAATAGAATCTAACAATTCATGTTTTAGGGAATAATTACTGCAGAAAGACAGCCCACAACATTGTATGTGTGTTTGAGAGAGTGGTCAGAATATCTTTTAATTCAGCATTTACCCGTGAGAATTATTCCCATGAGGAGCCTTGCAATAAAATCTGCTTGGTCTGTGAGAATAGAAAGAAATTGAATAAAAAGACTCCATTTCCACTTGTATTTATTCAGTCTGGGAAATTCAGTGGGCCGCAGCATTAGTATCAGCAGGGGATTCCTTGCTCCTAGCGTTAAATTACTGTCATAATCGCTCAATTATTTCTTCCTTGTACTGTTTAAAATAAAAATCCATCACATTCTCTGTTTTTTTCTAACATTTATTAGGTTGAGTGTTTAGGAAAATCAATTATATTCAGTCAGGCATGAATTGATGAATGTTCTTGTAATAATTGTCAGTTGTTAAACTGAATGTACTTTCTCTTTTCACCCCTTTTCATTTCCTTCAGAGGGCAGAGGTGGCTCAGAGAGAGGCAGAGACCTTAAGGGAGCAGCTCTCATCAGCTAACAAATCTCTCCAACTTGCCACGCAGATCCAGAAGGCACCTGATGTGGTGAGAGAAAATATTTACTGACTCTTACAGGTTTCTGACATTCCTGCAGTCCAGCTCCTTCACTTTATGCCCACAGCTATAAAAGCAGCTGTTTGAAGTCATATTTTGACTAAAAGGGAATGGTGTTCCTTGGGGAGTGTGGTGGGGGTTCAGCTTCTCAGGGGCTTGGTGGCTGGAGGAGACCACGGGGAGGACAGAGGTCACTTGGCTCTGTGGAGATCCTGCTCCAGGTGGACAGCACAACTCAGAAATCATTTCACATGGCTGAGAGCATCAGCACAGGGGAACAGAGGCAGCAAGAGAGCCTTGGTGGCCATCAGCAGGTGTCTGCCTGTGGGGCTCCATCCCCAGGGCACCCAGAGCTCCCTGCCCACTCTGCCTCTCCTTACTCCGTGTCTGGGCTCTCAGAAAACTGGAAATAAACTGCAGTTTTCACTGGCTGTATCTAAACTGAGAATTACACCTAGAAATCCTTGGAAAATTGAGAAGATACCCTGTGCTCCAGCTGGTTGCCTCCTCTGTGTGGTTCTGAATAAACCAAGGCTGCTGATGGGACCTGCAGGCACAGGGGGCTGTTCCAGGGCTCCAGCTGGCCCTGGGTGAGCAGGTATCACAGATGAGCAGCCAGATTATTTTGATTTTTGTTTGCCAAAGGAGAAATAGGAGTATTTAAATGTAAATATGCAATTAAGTGAAATTTAGTCTACTTCTAAGCAGCAGATTTAAGAAACAAAAGAAATCATTGCTTTTTTTTTCCTTGCAAGCCTTATATGTGCTTGACACTGATAGCAGAGGAACACATGGCTGCCTTTAAAAATCATTTGCAGAGAATAAGTAACACAGCATAAGTCCTCCAGATCTGTTTGTTTGTCTATTAATACAACCCAGTATTTTCTCAGAGAAGTCGAAAGATAGACAAGTAGGCTGCAAAACAAAAAATAAAAAGCCTGAATATCACTTGTAACTCTGAATTACCTGCCTCTTCCTATCTCGTGTCCTAGTCTTATCATTATTTTAACATTAGGTCTTTCTTGTATTTAATAGTACTTCTGCACTTCATTTATATTTAATATGACAACTACTGCAGGATGAAAATGATCATTATCTATCTTATTTCAGACTCCACGTTCTAGTCTCAATAGGCACAAGCAGCAGATGATTATACAACTTGTGATGTTTCATGCAAGCAAATTAGAGGTTTTTTCAAGTTAAAAGTATAATTCAGTGTAATAGGAGAGCGTTGTTAACTGCTGTTCTTACATGCAGCTTTCTGTGAGTGCAGCAGGGTGTAGTCACTGAGAATCAAGCTGAATGTTTAGAAGATATGGAAAAGGGGATTTTGTTGTTCCTGTATTCCCAGGAAAGAGGGTATGGAGTAGATTTCAATCTGCTGCAGTGTCATCTTCAGTTGTCAGGGTGTCACTGGGGTGAATTCTCAGCTCTTTCACCACAGATCTTTGGTTTAGTGCTCATCATCATCTCCCTCTTGCTGAATGGATTCTCTCCTCCTTCACTGGTGCTTCTGAGGAACAGCCATTAACCTTTGTGAGCTGCATTTTGGGCTCTCTAATGGAATGTGTGCCCCTCCTTGGGCCCCCACACAGGCACAAGGCTTTGCTCACATTCTCCATGGAGGAGGCTCAGAGCTCCCAGATACACCACAGCATGTCCCAGCACAAAAGGAGACAGAGATGGTACAATTAGTCTCTATTATCTTTTCTGAATGGATCTGCCTTCTTCTAGACCTCTCTGTCCTCTCTGATTCCCTGTCCTCCCAGGAAGTCAGTCCAGAGAGGAAGTTCCAGACTTGAGGACAAATTTTACAGCTGTGGGAAACTGGAAGAAAGAAGATTTAAGAAAGAGAATTTCTAAAAGTGGCGACCAAAGGGAGAATGGCCTTGTCTTAAAGCTGTCACATTTCTCTTCTTCCCCGTGGAGCATGCTTGCAATAATGTTAACATGAACAATTTTCATGCAAGGAGCAAGTTCATTGGAAGTAGCAGTTTGGGGCAATTTTTGACAATTTTGCCTGAAACGTGCAGTGTGCATGCAGAGAGCCACAGGCACATGGCTCTGCCGTTCCTGATTAAGAAATTCTGCTCCATTACTTCAGAATATTTTATCTGATTAGTATTTTGTAAGCACAGATTTTCATAGTTGTCAAAGCATTTGGGCTATTAATAATAAATAGATCTAAATAGAATCCTTTGACTTTCACGGCTGCATCTTTCCAGTGCACTTATGAAATCGGGAAATTTATTCCCTCTGTTATCCCTGTTTTCCCAGAGAGCTGTCCTGGGGTGTAGAAATTTCCAGATTCCCACTGTCAATCACAGGAGTCCCAGATTGAGGAGCTGTCTGTTTCTTCTGCAACCCAATGTCATGTTGGCTCCTTGCTGAGCTACCCTGAATTTAGGTTTGTTGCTTTTCCTTCCTTTTTGGGGTCTAATTCTCTTTTTTCCCTGCAGGAGCAGGCCATCGAGGTGCTGACTCGCTCCAGCCTGGAAGTGGAGCTGGCAGCGAAGGAGCGCGAGATCGCCCAGCTCGTCGAGGATGTGCAGAGGCTCCAGGGCAGCCTCACCAAGCTGAGGGAGAACTCCAGCAGCCAAATCTCCCAGCTGGAGCAGCAGCTGACAGCCAAGAACAGCACACTCAAAGTAAGGCTCAGTTCTGCCCCAGGGATGTCTGAGAGATGAGGATGTTGGGGTTTGCTGGTGTGAGTTTCCTGAGCCTTGGCTTCTTCAAGGTGTGGCTGAATTCTGGTTTCTGTGGCATTCATGGAATCACAGAATGATTGGAGTTAGAAGGGACCTTCAAACCCATCCCATTCCACTCCCCTGGATATATTGTTTTATAAGGGATCACAGGTTTTTTGACTTCTAAATGGCCCAATCCTTACTGTTCTGAAATGTGCTTTTGCAGAACAAGGCTCCCTTTAGCATTAAAATCACCACCAATACATCGACCATGGATATGTAATGAAACAGTTGAACTGAAAAGGCACAGAAAATCCCTCTTAGATTTTCAAACTTTTAATTCCCATTCCAGTTTACATATTGAAGATTTGCAAGGAATTGACTTATCTTTCAATTTCCCTGTTCTCCCACTCCAGTTCTCTCCACTGGAAATGGGAAGTGTATCATTTAGACCATAGAAACAAGTAAAATCAGGACATGGAGAAGGCTTTTAGCTTCAATAACCATTTAATTATTTTTTAACTGTGTATTTGCTGCACAATAATTCCCATTTATAATTAGCAGTCTGGCCCTATACTCATTTGCATAGGAGCAGCAGTGCACTAGAACCAGAAGGAAGAGCTAGGAATTCTCTGAATGACCCTTTTACCTCACTCTTGGGCAGTTTCACTTTCCCTGTGCTGAGCCCACACAGTTGTGATCTCTGAGTGAGCATGAGAAATGTTTCCTGACGTGGGGTATGAATCAGTTTCCTGTAACTCCCATCTCCTTCATTGTTCCACCATCTATGAGCTCTGAAGTGTAAACAAGATAAATTTATCTATTCCATTAAAGACTTGGTAGTTCTGCAGGTTTGATAGTCTGAGAGTTTTGTGAGAGCAGGAGGCTGATAGTTCCCACTCAGCTCTGACTGTGGCGTGGGCAGCTCTGCTCTATCAGAATGATTTAATGTTCAATTGAAACTCTTACAAATTGCTCTAATTCTGACATTTTTTAGCAGTTACTGGTTTTGCTGTGGTGGAGCATAATTCACATGGAGAGAGACCTGTTAGGAATGAAAGCTGAAGTGTTGCAGTCAGTGTTTTCTGCATGTTTCAAGCCAGCTTTGTAGAATTTTAATGAAAATTCAGTGGAGCAAAGGGCACCTATTATGTAACTCCATTGACAGTATCAGTCTCTGCCCACCTGTCACCATGTGGGCACCACTTTTTTTGAGGGAGAAAGGAGCTGCTCTGGTTTTGAGGGACACATTCTGCTGGCTACACCCATGTTCAGGGGATTTTTTTATTTTACTTTTTCATAAAGCCTGATAGAAAATATCTTGAGTCCTTGCACTTGACAGATTTTCTTGGAATAAAGCATGTTCCTGGTGAGGTCAGTATTAGTTTAGCCATTAACTTCAAAGGGAGTAGGATCATAGAAATGACAGAGCAAGTCTTTGATTTCCATTTCAGTAATCTCCTTCCATTTTCTCATAGCCTTGCCTGGCTAATGCTCTGTATTTAGCTTTCTGTTGATAGTGTCTGATGTAGTGCCTCTATTGATAAAGTTTTAGTCGTTTCAACCCTCTTTAACCTTATTTGTTGCAACTATAAAAATATTTCCAAATATTACTTTCACCCCAAAGTGCTGGGAAAGCCTGTGCCTGGCACATGTTGAACAAAGCACCAAATCTCAGTGACGATGTGCTGATCTCCTGTTTGATTATGGAGGAATTGCTTCTGAAATAACAGAGATTGTAATGGTTGCCTCCACAAAAAACAACTCACAGTTTCACAAATTAAAGCAATGTTCTCAACCTGTATCTTGGGGGAATTGTTTAATACTCTATGACTTAATGAAACAATACAGAAATACTTTCAAAATTATTGCTTCTTTATCTTCATCTGATCTAATAATCAAAACATGTCCTCTAGTAACAAGACTTTCCTCACTCTAATTGTATTAACCCTTTGTGGCTGGGTGCTAGAATGTCCCTGCTACCCAGTTAAAATTCAGTAATGTGAGTGATCACTCTAAACTGAACTACAGTGTTAATCCAATGGTTATTTAAATGTTTTAAGCCCCTCAATACAGCCCCTGCTCTTCACCTATGCCACTTCAGTTAATAATACAGTAGTGATTGTATTTTCTAAATAACATGAGGAGGGACCCAATCTCTGCCTGCTCTGACATGAGTTCATTCACACCACAGATGCAAGATGATTCCTTAACATGGGATATTTGCAAATTTAATGTGCAGAAAAGCCACCAGTCCATTCCTTCTGCCCTCTGGCACCTGCATTTTTGTGTGTTGGAATATATTTTGTCTGAATTAACCAGGTTGATATTTAGTGCAAGATATTAGTTCCTCCAGATTGTCTCACAGCTTGAACCTTTGTTATCCCATGTTCTGTGCATTTTACAGGGTTCTTGGAGACAATTACCATACTAATACATTTTAAAACAGTCATTGACTGGGAAGATGCCAAGTGCCTAAATGTTGTGTTTCTACACAAGCACTGCATCCTCAGTTGTTAGTTTATATTGTTTAGTAAAGTCGATGTTTAGGTGCAGCTTTTCCATGGCAACAATCTCTATATTAGGTACTTGGGAATGATGGATGTGTGTGTTTTTTATACAATCCCAAGTAAAATATTGCTGCTTGTCATACTGCTGTAGCAGCACACAAGTACCTGAGAGTCCAAAACAGCTGCATTTTGTCAATCTCTCTTTTTTTTTTCTTTATTATTCTACCTGTGTTTTGTGCCTAAATTTTCCAGAAATACTCTACCAGGGTATAGAATTACATTTAATACTGGTTGCACTAAAATGGAAGTCATTACCTTTTCTGTGGTTTATATCCTTTTCTACAAAAGGCTGTTTTCTTAGCATAGCCTTGCATAAGTAACTAACATATTAATCCAGGGTATTGTTTGTTTTAAATTTCTTCTGGTCCTTTTTATATTGAGAACTGGTATAAATTGCCAGCTGTTCCTGCTGTAAAAGGTCGTGTGCTCTAGACCCAAAATGTCCCAAGTCACAGAAGTAAGGAAAGGGTGAATTGCAGGGGATTTGTAGAGCAGCAGAGACAGAAGGACAAAGTGACAAGACCAAGGAATGCAGAAGGATATCTTGGGTTTGACAGGTCCCCCATTGCCTGTGACCACTTGGAAAACTCTCAGCTGTGGTGCTGAGTCTGCTCTCAGTACCAAGGGCTCTCTGGCTCTCTGGTTTAATTTAAAGATCCCTCTCCAGCCTGAGCTGATGCACTAACATTTCTACCTGGATGCCTTGTTGAAGTCACTCTGTTTTGCTCAGTGTTGAGCTGCAGCTTGAAAAGCTGCTTGAACTCATGGCCTGTTGTAGCTGACCCTCCTCAAAATGTGAGACCTCAGGCCCTGGGACTACATAGTACATTCCCATAATGAGATTTCAGCAGGTTGTAAATTATCAAAACCTCCAACATCTTTAATATTTGTAGGATTTTCCTGGTCACATCAACCAGGACTTTCCTAATTATGTCAAAACACCTGAAGCACTGTGTCTGCTGCTAAAGCAAAGTCAGTGCTTCCTGTAGTTCCAGACAATAACTGGAATTTGGTAAGGCAGGACACACCAGAAAAAAAACACAAAAGCTTGCCCTGTATTTATTCCAGATTAAAAAAAAATGTTGTAGCTAAAACAGACACTTTATTTTTCTTTTTAACACAACTGGAATGACTGCACAAGCCACTGATGACAAAAGATGCTGGGACACGAGACCTTTTTAAGAGGCCACTTGTTCATCAATGTCCCAGAGAGTGCAAATTCCACACTGAGCAGCAGTTCCTGTGATCCATTAAGAGCTGCTCGTTGAGCAGGGCCCAGCTGTTCCTGCCAGGAGATTCCTCTCCTCAGCAGTGGTGAGGATGCTGGACTGTGGTGTCAAACAGCAGGAGCAGGACCTTGAGAGGGCTGTGTATTGATAACCTGAGTGTCCACTTTGTCACTGCTCCTTAATATCCGTGCTAATGGCGAGGCAGAAATGTCAGCAGTGTGAGAGCTGCAGAAGGAAATCCTTTAAAGAATGGCAGAATAGCTGGAGATCCCACAAAGCCCCACCAGGCTGCTCTTGGCACCTGAAGAAGCCTCATTTAAATTACTGAGATGACTCAAACCATGGTTTGTGTCATGTGGGTGCTGTGCTACATCATTTTGGGGTTTGTACAGCTCTGAGATGGGTGATACCCACACACTCACTTACTGGGGAGGACAGCACAGGGAGCAGGTTCCCCATTCTGTTTGTTGAACTGCCCCAGCCCTGCCTCCGTGCCCCATAGCTGGGCTGCTGCATTTTAAACAGCTTTGCTGAAATTATCCAAGTTGCCAGCAGCCCTCCCCTGCCCTCCTCCTGTATCCAAAGAGCAGCCCCAGAGTGGGTGTAGGATCTTGAATTCCCCTCTTCCCTGAAGGCAGCCTCTCCTGGACATAAAGTTCTATTTTTCTTTTTCATGTCATATATTCCTTTCCTTATCAAAGTAGATTCTCTGTCTTTGAGGTGATACGTCCTTGTGTTATTTCTGTTTCCCGTGACCTTTGGGATTCTGTGCCAATTTTAACACCAAAAATGAACTGAAGCAGAGTTAGCCTGAATTTATCCATGGACGTTGCAAGCCAGTAAGTTCTGTTCTTTGCTTAGATCAGGTGTGCCTGCAGTAAGCAAAGAAAATATTGAAATGAATGTGGCTTCTGCAAGCAACATAACGGCATCAATTATGTATCACTATGTTTTAGGCCTCCTGAAGCATTTACCCCGTAGTGATGAGCACTTTGTTGGGAGCTGGGTAAGGTCCGAGTGTGTGGCATTGCGTTCTGGATTGTGGCAGCGGGTTTGGTTCAGCCTCTGGGGCATCCTCACAGCCAGGAGAAGCCATTGGGGCCGCCCTGGGGGGGCAGAGCAGAAGGAGCTGCTGGGGTGGCCTCGATGCTCCCTGTCTTGGTGTGTAACCAGAGCAGGCAGTGCCACCAGGAGTGCCTGTACAACCTCCTGGTGCAGCTGTTTGCTTTGGGCACCAGGTGCTGTAAGAGCCTTCCAAGCCTAAGGCATTCCAGTCAACAACAGCTTCTTCAGTCTGTTCTTTTTATCATGTAGATAAGGTTATCTGGAACTGTCCTATTAAGAATACAGTATGTGCCAAAGCACCCTGCTTGTTTACTCAATCTTCCTGAAAATTTCAGCTGCCCCATTTTTTTAAATACCTTCATCCCCAATCCCTTCCCTGAACACGACAGTGACATTGCAAACAGCCAAATTGGGACCCACTGAATTCTGTCATGCTTGGCACTCTGTAAACAAAGGATGAGCGAGGTATAATTGTGTTTACGTTTAATTGGTTATAGTTTGTTTTCTAATATATGTAAATTAGGTATGAGTCATTAACCCTCACTTGTGCGCTGCTGTATATATGGAATAATTTGAAGATGATTTTCAAAGCCTACAGAAAAAAAAAAAAACAATGTAAATAATTAAATCCATGTTCTCTCTTTTAAAGCAACTGGAAGAAAAACTGAAAGGACAGGCTGATTATGAAGAGGTTAAGAAAGAATTAAAGTAAGTGTTAAATGCTTACATAATTTTTTCACAAACTCTGGTTGAACAGTGCTTGTTAAATGAAGCCACAAATCTGTGTTCTTGGAACAATAAAGAATTCAGTCAAAACCACAAAGACGAGGAAATTGGGAATATTGGCAGAAATTGCATCCAGAACCAGTGGAACTGCTGTATCTGAGAGTGCTCCTTTTTGTTGCAGCAGAGGATCACAATAGCAAATAAAACATGTGTCCACGAAGAAAAGCCACTAAAACTCTTGTCCACAAAGGGAAAAAAGTTTCAAAATCTGTGGTGTTTTAGGTGGACCACTCTTTAAAAATCTCCAGCCAACAGCTGAGGGTAATGTGGACCAAAAATGTCCTGCAGAGCCTTTGGCCATGGTACCTTTTCTGTGCTCCTGCCAGCCAGTGTTCAGCACTTACCAGTTTAATGCTGGGCTTATTTCACTGTATATTTTTGCTAATATAATGTGGTTTTAAACTAAAGCCACAAACAGCCTCTTCCTATTTCAAGGGATTTTCTTAAGAGACTTAAAAGAGCCTCATTTTAAACTATAACAAGATAAGCTGTCAGGTTCAGAAGAGAACTTTTCTGACTGGAAATATGTTTAGTGTCAAGGTTTAAATAACTGCGAGAAACTCCCATCTCTTCTTTCATCATTCTGGCATTTCTGTGTGTGTTTTAAAAAGGCTGAAATAACCCATTCCCTGGTTTAATGAGGTATTTCAGATGAGGCTGGTAGTCATGTGCTTTTGTTTACACGTCCCTGGAGAATATGGAAAGCAGATTTGGATTTGCAAGCCCCACAACTGCCCAGCCCCTGGTGCTGATTTATTCAAGCCACGCTGGCTGAGGTTTTGGTTCACCACCAGCTGCAGCACACCCTGATGTAGGGGTGTAATTTTCACTTAAATTAAATGAATTGACCATTTCTTTGGTCATTTTACCTGATTATTACCTGGGCTCAAAATAGCATCATCATTTAGTGATTAGGGGTAAACACATCCATGTCCTCTCCTGTGTTCAGGGAACAGCTTCAGGTTTTAGCCACTTTATGTCCTCATATGTAAAGCAGTGAATGGGAATAATGCCACAGCCTTCCAGCTTCTTGCATTAGATATTACATGTAAATGTGCTGAAACAACAAATGAGTTTTGAATCCTACCTGGTTTAATGCAAAGGTTTAATACAACAGGAGCAGGACTTTAAAGCAAGACTTAAGGTGCCAAGAACCCAATATACTCTTTGAAATACTCATTTAAGCTTACTTTGCATTTGTACTTTAAATACAAACCCTGTATTCCTGGTGATAATACCAATATTTTAATTTCTTTTTTTTAACACTGACTTACATGAGGACAGGGATGGAAAGGCAGATGAGAGAAGCTGTGACACAGAAGGCTTCATATGGTGCTTCTGCTCAGGATGAGCCTGCAGTGAAATAAATGAGAGACTCCCCTGGAAGTGGCCCTGTTTGGGTGCCAGTAAATTAACCCTGTTTTCCCAGCTGCTCCAGCTTTTATATCCCTAATTTGTGGATTGATAGCTGGCTTGTAAGGGCCCTGGGGTCCATCAGCATCCTGTGGGATGGTCTGAGGGTTGAGACCCTCTGAAAGATCACTGAGGATGTTTGCAATGCTGCATCCTCCAGGCAGCTGCTTCACACCACTGCCATGCTCCATCTAATCCAAAAGGTGTGCTGAAGGGTAAATGTGCATCCCCTGGCACTGACAGCCTGGTCTCAAGTGAGACTTGCTGAATGAGACTGGGAGAAGTTTGTTGCTGTAAATCGGGAGCCCTCACACTGAATCCTGCTGAACCTGCCTTGTGCCCTGAAACACTGACAGAAAGGAACTGCTCATAACATTTGCACCAAGAGAAAAGAGATCTTGTCAGTAAGGCAGGAAGAGAATTAATTTTTTAGGTGTTTTGGCACTGGTATTTTCATTAATCCTTCCTGGGATGTCAGAGGCATTCTAGGCTGAGGGGTCTCAATATCAGCCAACTTCTAACTCTGGAGGAACTTAGGATCATGTCAAGATCTGGGATGGGAGGATTCTTCACTTTCTGCCTTGGCTTTTGTGCCCAGTGGCTTCTAAACCTATTTTTGAGATCTGAGAGCTCTGTGTGTGCTTTCAGCTCCCTCTCGAGTAGCACGACAGCGCTGACCCTGCTGCCTTTGCAGTCGGGATCAGACGAACAGAAAGTGGAGCTGTCCCAATGCACACTCTGCTTTACACTCACATCTTTCAAGTCTTCTTAGATGTGCAGATTCAAGTCACAAGATCATTCCTTTTAAAAGCAGGTAACTGATCTTGAGCCACAGATTGAGTCAAGATCTCATGGGCAAAGATATTCCTGGAATCCAAAGAAGAAACGTTGTGCTTCCTCATATTCCTGAGGAGAATGTGTCTTTTGTGACACATTTGGAGAGTCATTTTTGACATGTTTAACTTTTACATTCTTTTTATAATGAACCTGCTGAAGTGGATATTCCTCTTAGGGCAATTAGAGGTGCCATCAGCTTGATTTTTAGTATATTTTGTGTTTCAACTGTATAGGAAATCACCTGTAAAATTGTCAGAAAGTTAATTCAGTTAGCAAAGAATCCCCTTCAGGTAGGCAGAGGTCAGTTGGTTTCCAGCCAGGGTTTGAATACACATTGCCTGCACCAATCTGGAAATGCAGCTGCTGCAAGGCTCAGGTTCCTTCCTGAAGGTCCCAGCTGGCAGCAGGTGCTCAGAACCAAAATGCATCAACCTGTGCTAGGGCAGGGATGATAGGATTAGGGCTTTAGAGGCAGATTTTTGGTGTGGAAAACCAAACATAACCATAAAGGTTTGTGCTTCAGACCATTGTCAGCCTGGTTCTGGGGGCAGCCAGGTGTGAGCAGGGCACCACTCTGGTCCTTTTGGGAGAGAGCAGCTTTTTCTGGTTTAGCTTCATCCAGGAGGAAGGAAGGTGTTTGGAATGCTGCTGGATTGCTCCACATGGCAAACTCACATGTGGTAAGTGGGGATCACAACTGGTCTGAACTGAAGTGGGATTTCCCATGGGACATTTCCCATGGGATGTGATAATTTGCTGTTTCTGTTTGAAATTCAGATTTCATTTGGGTATCATGAGGATGTGCATTAGGTTTGGCTGTCCCTGCAGAGGCCAGGGACATAAAATTCCCTACAGAATTCATGGAAACAGCCACCTGCCAGTGGCTGGGGTTTTCCCTAGATGAGTCTCTGTGCATTTATCTCCCCAGCACCTTGGAGTCCTGGGGTGCAGAGCTGTGCCTCCAAAGGGCTGACCCTGGAAACACTGGCTTTTGGGGATTTGCCACCTGAGTCACACACCTGTGATGTCAAAGTGATGCCAGGGTCTCTGACAACTCAAGCCATTGGTCCACATCCTCTCCCTTTGACTGGCACAGCTCCACTGATAGCACAAAGGAGTTGGTTTTGCACGTGGCTGGGCTGTTCTGCCCAATATCACCAATATCACTTTATGTGCTCTGTAGGGGCTGATGGCTCTACCCTACAGCCAGGCAGGAGGTGACACTGAGTGATGCCATGTAATGAAAGTGATTGCCAGAAACTTGTGGTTTCATTAATTACTATATTTTAGGGATGCCTGTCAGAATTAACCCTGTGTGCAATGAGTATGCACAGATGTGAGATATATGAGGTCTCTTTCTCAGAATGACTTTTTTTCCCTTGGGTTTGCCATGACTTTGAGTGATCTTGAATGGCCCAGAGATCTGATTTCCAGAGTGTCACTTAATGCACATCTGACTCTGGATTAATCCAGGGACAGGATCAGGCAGTTAATGGGTGCCTGGCTAACTCCTCATGGCACCCAGAACTACTTCTTGTCTCTTAATACTGGACTTCTGCCTTTTTTTCTCTCAGTTTCCACATTTCATGGAATCACTGAATGTATTGGGCTGGAAGGAACCTTAAAGCTCATCCAGTCCCACCCCTGCCATGGGCAGGGACACCTTCACTATCCCAGGTTACTCCAAGCTCCATCCAGCCTGGCCTTGGACACTTCCAGGGATCCAGAGGCAATTCTAAAACCTTTAATACATGATCCACAGCTTTTAATACAGTTTAATACACGATTAAACAGATTGTTTCAGCTCACAGAGTTCCTGGTACTTTATACATGACAAATGCTGTATAAACACCATCTATATGTGTTTATGTGCTTTTCTTCACCAAATGAATGTTGTCTTTGTACAGTAAAAAGCTGAAATCATTTATTGCTTCAATCTGAGGAAGTTCATGTCCTGCCTGCAGCAGGCTGATTTAAAAAAAATTATCCAACAAAGCACATTAATAAGTCTGCATTCCTGTAAGATTCTGGTTGGCCAGAATTTCTAACTGAAAGCCTCTGACCATTCACTATTTGTATAAAATATTGACAATGAGACTATCAGATTCTTCTCCTAATGTACTTATAAATATTTGGATCTTTCATATTTCTTAAGAAATATTGGGCCATTTTGTCTTCCCTTTGCCATAGAACGAGGGGGTTATTAAAATGAAAAACTGCCTTTTAGCCTGTAGTGCCTTGGTTGGGAACATTATTTGTGCCTATTTTCCTTGCTGGTGAGCTGGTGTATATTCTAGAAAGTGCTGTACTGTGGTGGTGATTCCCCTGTTTTTTTGCTTTGCTACAACTTCCTCATTCCCTTCCAGCTTCACAGATAAATTTATATCGTTTCTGACAGCTTAAAATGTTATATCCTTATTAACCTTTAAATTTACACTTTAAACTGGCCTGGTGGGATTGCATATGGAATGATTTAGATGATGCTTGAGAAAATTTTCTTATCCAATAACTGGTTTGAGGAGTTATTCTGTATTCATTAGGAGATTGTGTTATGGCAAGGAAAGTTGTCATCACTTGTGGTGTTGCTGGAGAACAGGACATGATAATGCTAATTCTCATTAGTGGAGTTGTTATGAAAAGGAGAAATAGAAAATAATTTCTTTTTTCTGCCTTCCACAGCATATTGAAATCCATGGAGTTTGCACCATCTGAAAGCTCTGGTGCACAGGTACTGAATTTACTTTTGTTTTCTTATTTATTCTGCAGCTCAGTTGATTAACAAAAATTTTGTCTCGCAATTCCTTGGTGTTGACATTGACAGTTTCCTGTTGATGTTGAGGCTTCTGGGTCCATCCTTGTATTTCCTGATGTTTTCTTATGTAAAAAGCTGAACTGGACTTTTTTTTTTTTTTTTGCCTATTAATTTCATTTAAGTGGTCAAGGACAAAGTGACATTTCAGCTGTGCTGGAGTGGATAAACCAGAATGTTGTGAAGTTGAGTCATTTAAAGACACTGGAGTTGGTGTATAGGCAGCACACTGTGCAAGGACTTCAGCATTTTTAAGTATTTGTTAGCCTTGAAAATTCCTTTTCACAAAAGAAAACAAACCTTGGAGTACTGAGAAAGCTCTGCTGTTCCAGCAAATTAATCTTACTTCAGTTTAAAGGTTATGAATTAAATTCCTGTTTCTGAAATCCGAACTGAATATCAATATCCTGGGATTAATTTTCAATGTGTTTTTTAATGATCAAGGGTTAGATATTTAGGGGAGAGTGAATAGCAGGTTTCTCTGACTGATGTTATTTTGAACAAACTGTTTCTGCTGAAACACAGCGTGTCAAGGAAATGCTTAGCTTGGGTCAGTTGACCTAGAAGGAATAATATAATCTTAACTCCTGTTTTAATCAGATTAAAAGAAGTCTACAGCTTTTAAACCGAAAGCGTGCCAGGGCCATTTAAAAATAAGTAGGATTAAGAAAAGGTTCCATTACACATCTCAAAATAATGCAGAATTGATGAATGATTTACAATTAAAATTAAACAGTGAATCTCTTCCATGGCTCTCACCAGAGCCCAGAGTGATTCCTGCCAATCTGTGCCCAGCCAATTCCCTCACTGCCTCCAGAAAACCAGTCAAGCACTTGGTGCTTTTAATTTTTTTTTCTCTCTGAAATCCCTTTTAGTGCCTGAATGAGATTCTCAGTGCTTTGAGAAACAAACCTCCCCCTTTGGTTTCCTTTAGGATGCATCCAAGCCGCTGGAGGTGCTGCTGCTGGAGAAGAACCGCTCGCTGCAGTCGGAGAACGCCACGCTGCGCATCACCAACAGCGACCTGAGCGGTAGGTCCACCCAAATTTTGGCTCTTCTGGTGCCTCTGCTGTCCTGTGATGGGAGGGAGGGCTGAGTGAGAGCTGAGTGTCTGAGCTAATGCATGGCAGGAGGATTAAGAAGCAACAGGAACACTGAGTAACGTTGGATTTCTGTAGTTTTATAGGCTGGATAATGAAGTAAAAGTTAGAGAGTCTATAAAGGTTAAGGAAGAGGCATTACAGGCTGTACCAGTGTTTGAGGCTGTCTTCTGTTTTGGGAACAAATCCATCTCTTTCCCCCACACACAGTGCTATGCAAAATGTTTGCATGTAGAACACAGTCTTCCTGTCTGATACACTTGGATATACCACCAGCAGGTCAGCTTGGGAAAGCAAAATCCTTTCTTCCCAGCGAAGTGTGTTTGCTGTTTGGCTTTCCTAATGTGGGCTTTTACATCTTGTGTGCACATTTTTTAAATGGCAAGTCGTGGAATTTCCAGATTCTTGAATGATGGTTTTTGCAGCTGGAAGAAAGTTAAAAGTTGCCACTGGCCGTGGTTTTACCGAAATCTGAAGCGTTTTATGAGTTTTAACTGAGTGATCTTGGTGCATCCACCTAATGGTTATTCCTTTATTCAAATTGGTTTGTTCCAAAATGTAAATGTTTGCTGCATTTGGGTTCAGACAGGTCCAATGAGTCATATCTTGAATGAGAGACAACAGAGAGACTTGCTATCTGTAACTGCATTTATTTAACTGTATCACTGCACTTCATGTAACTGTTCTAGTGTTAATGTCTGTAAGGGGGATTCTCCAGGCTGCAACATACAAGAAAGGTGCAAACATGAAATGCATGTTGTTTGTTTTGGGGGCCTTGTTTGGCTTAAAAATTTTCAATCATGGAAAAAAAAAAATTAAAATAAAATTTGAAAAAAAAAAAAAATAACCCAACAAATGAAAACAAACCAAAACCAAACAAAACCAAAACTCCCACCGCCACTCCATTGGCCCGTGTCAACCTGCACTTTTTCCCTTTGCGGGGCAAACTTTGCATTTTTTTATCTTGGTTTTTCCCTCTTTGACCCCCCATAATGCATTATGTTTGACCTTCCTTGTAGGGTCAGCCAGGAGAAAAGGGAAAGACCAGCCTGAGAGTCAGCGTCCTGCAACCTTGCCGGCCTCCCCTCCTTCCCAGTTGCTCCGCAACGCGGGGGAGCAGGCTTCCAATACTAATGGTACACACCAGTTCTCACCAACGGGTTTAAGTCAAGACTTTTTCAGCTCATCCCTGGCGAGCCCCAGCTTACCCCTGGCCTCCACAGGAAAATTTGCACTAAACTCTCTCCTCCAGCGACAGCTAATGCAGTCCTTCTACTCCAAGGCAATGCAGGAAGCAGGAAGCACAAGCATGATTTTTCCAACAGGTCCATACAGCACAAACTCCATATCTTCCCAAAGTCCATTACAACAAAGCCCGGATGTAAATGGCATGGCCCCATCTCCCAGCCAGTCAGAAAGTGCTGGGAGCATCTCTGAAGGCGAGGAGATAGACACGGCCGAAATTGCACGTCAGGTGAAAGAGCAGTTGATCAAGCACAATATTGGACAGCGGATATTTGGACATTATGTGTTGGGACTGTCACAAGGGTCTGTGAGTGAGATCCTGGCCCGGCCAAAGCCATGGAATAAACTGACTGTGAGAGGCAAGGAGCCATTTCATAAGATGAAGCAGTTCCTGTCGGACGAGCAGAACATCCTGGCTCTTCGCAGCATCCAGGGCAGACAAAGAGGTAAGAGCTCCCCAGCCCCCTGCTCCTCTTAGCTCCAAACATTCCAGACCAGGAGTTTCTCCATCTGGGGCCGTTTGTGTGCTGCTGCTGCTCTCACCCAGCTCAGGTGAGCAAGCTCAGCTCTCCAGCCCTGCTTTGCAGCACTCAGGCAGGTTCGTATCTCTGCTCATGCTTTTTTTTAGCCACTGGCTGGTGCCTGTCAGCAGGAGTGAGCAGCAGGGACACTCTCAGCCCTCACTTGCCAGCCCCTCCGTGCCACAGCTGAACACGGAGCAAAAAGGGTCAGCAGCTACTCAGGGTATCAGCCCTCAGAAACACTTGGGCATTTTTATTTGAGGTTATTTACTGAGACCAGGCTTTTGTTGTGTCTTGTGTGATGATGTTTTTTTCCCCAAAGTGTTCTGACAAAATAGGGTAGGTGATGCATGAGATGAGTAATTAAAACACAATCCCAGTTTAAAGCAGCTTTGCATATTTAAGGCAGCGATTTTAAGAAGTAACATGCATTTCATTGTGATTCATCTTAAGGCTGAGATTTACATTTAGAGAAACTGAAAAGTAAGTTGTTTACAGTCAAGAAATATTGGAAAGGACAGGCAGGGTTTTCTAGATTTTGTTTAATTGGAAGCACACACTGTTAGATTTATAATCTGTTCTTCCTTTTGATGATTGTACTTGAGGGGATTATCTGCCCATCTTTAACCTCTTCATTTTTGGTATCTCTAGACATTTATTTATATCTGTCTAATCTCCTTTCCGAACATAGCTGTAATCTTTATTAACAAATCAGCCAGCCTTGCTTCTTCCCAAGTAGCCAGTTCCTCCTGCTCAGGGGCCCGAGGGGCCAGGAGAGCTCAGGGCCAGGCTGCCAGCTCCTCATGTCACACAGCCCGTGATGTCAGAGCAACCATCCCCTGATTGTTTTGTTCTTACCAAACTTGTTTTTCAACAGAGAATCCAGGCCAGAACCTGAACAGACTATTTCAGGAAGTACCGAAACGAAGAAATGGGTCTGAAGGTACGTCACAGGCAGGTGTTTTTCTTTGCAGTCAATCCCTAGGAAGTGGAGTGTGCTTTAGCTGTGTGTTTCCTTAAAATTGTGCAGTTTGATTCTGGCCTGGAATCTGATAGAAAAACAGACAGTAAGTATAAAACAAACCATGGGTTAGATGAACACTTTGCTTTTTCTAATTCTGCTGCTGCTGTACTAACGTAACCCTGTCTGGATAGTTCTTGCACTCCCACCCTCCCTGCGTGCTCAGATAAAGAGAGAGAAGTGATAGAAGTGGCTTTATGAAGTTATTGGATCTATTGAAATGCTCTCTTTGCTATTTTTATGGTTTTGGAGGGAGAAAGTTGCACAGTTAAAACATCAATTGCATACTGCTTCTGCTCTAGATTTATTTCTTTCTTCTCATGGGGCTTATGCTGACAAATTCCACTTTAATACACTGCTAAATGAGTGTGTTGCTTAGTTCAGAATTATATATGAAAAAGACAACAAGATAAGTGAACATCAGGTCCATAAATTATCACTGAACAGGAAGTCTGCACATTTTTGTTACAGATTAGTTGCAGAATTTTTCTTTAAGTAAGACCAGAAAGAAGAAAAAACAAAAGCAGGTACACCAAAAGTCTGTAGTTATTTTGTCTCCAGTCACAAATTACCTCACTTGCTTACAAACAATAATCTCATAATGGAAAATGCAGTTAAGTGCAGTAGCACTTATGGTTTTCCCTCCTTTTCTTCCCCTTAGAGGTTAAAAAACAAAAAAAACCCAAAGCAAAACCAAACAACCAAGTAATAGCTCTTAGCTGGAGAGTGCTTCGAATGGTATCTGCGTATAAATGACTTTCTCTTAATGCATTAACCTCTAGAAAGTTAAAAATTATTTTTATCTAGTTACTTTTTAATTCTGTTTCGGGCTGAATGTATACTCACCCTGCTTTGCCTGGCAGCTGATGCCATTTTTAAGTTAATTCCTGGGCTTACGTTTTTAGCTTTCTTCCTTTCCCCTCTGGTTCTTTTCCCCTCTGTTTCCTCTCCCCCTCCAAAAAAAAAAAAAAAAAAAAAAAAAAAAAAAAAAAAAAACTATATATGTTACCATAGAAAACGAATATATGACCTCCTAGTTCTTCCTCCCACGTTCTCACTATTCCAGGGCAGCTAGAGACAGGTACAATGAGAATATTTTGCTTTTATTATGTTAAGTACTTTTTCTGTGTGGTGTAAGTGTTGGTAAAGGTCCTGTGCAAGTTTTCCTCAGCTTGTGCTGGCCATGTATCATATACAGTGTGTCTTTGTTTTACAAAAACAGCCAAAGAAGAGTTTTCCTGGTGTCATTAGTTGTGTTTTCCTCTGCAGGTAACATAACCACACGAATCCGAACCACAGAGTCAGGCTCTGATGAAGCCATCAAATCCATTCTTGAACAAGCCAAAAGGGAGCTGCAAGTACAGAAAACAGGTATGGGCTCATTTTGTCTCTGCCTGCTTTTACTGCAGAATTTAATTAAAACAATTGCCATGAGCTTTCTGGTCAGTTAATTATATTCTTAAAATCTTCGGTGTAGGTTTGAAGAGTTTTTGGAGATTTTTATTGTTACTTAGTGGAGCTGTTTCTCTTTCTGAGACATGCCACGTTAAGGTCACACGTGTCCTGGCATGGTTGGGGTCTCTGCTCTGCCCTGCTCCCTGTGGGATTTCTGAACACCTTTATCCCTGTGCAGAGCTCTGAGCTCCTGGCTGCCCTCCAGACCTGCAGGAGTCACTGAGGGGAACCTACAGAATCCTTTCTTCTCCCAGTTTGCTCTTTGGAAAGGGAATGGCTCCTGCTTTCTCCTCCCTTCTGTCTCACTCGGGCTCCAGGGACACAACTGCACGGGAGAGGGGCTGGATGGATTTGTTGGGGTGAAGGTCACACTCCAGGCAGCAATTACCAGTCCCAGCACCATGGTACATCCTGTACTCATATAGGCACACTCAGTCCTGACTCTTACATGACTTTATTTTTGGTTACAGAATGTATTCAGTGAACGAACTGGCAAATCCAAAACACATTCCCTTTCCCAAAAAATCCCTCTTAGCCTGAGATAAGTCTAATTTCTCATTGTATGCTGTCATGTAATTAATATTTCTGTCTAGTCCATAGCCCTCTCAGCTTTAAGAGTTCCCAGTACTGCTATTGGGATGAAGTAGAAATTACTGTGCAATACTTCTGTTTCATTTTTTAAAGTGAATACTGATTTGCAGTTTCGGATAGTTGTCTTTCAAATGAAAACTAAGTTAATCTCATGTCAGAGTATAAAACACTAGTTAATATATGATCTGAATAATATGACTTTATATAGGAAATTATTAGATAGAGAAAAATATGGGCTTTCTGCAGGAAACTGCAAGAATGTTATTCAGTAGCATGTTTCATCTGAGAGTCTCAGACTTCCTTTCAAATATTAATTTGGCCTCAAAACTCCCTGTGAAACCAGCAGATAAAACAGCAGAGAGAGTCTCACTGTCTTTTTTTCCTATTTCTTGGCTTTTCATGTATTTTACAGTGTGTGACAGACAGGAATGTAGGGAGGCAAATTCAGAAATGCATTCAGATTAGCTTTAGTATTATTGGAGTGATACACAGCGTGTTGTAAATCTTATTTCATTTTGAGGCCACTCCTTGGAGTGTGGGGTTCCCTGCTCCCACCTGGTGCTTCACTTTCTCTGTTCTCTGGTTTCCAAGCACTGGGGACCTCAGTGGAGACTGAAATAGAAGCAGATGCCATTGCAAAACCTCCTGGCTCTGCAGGGAGAATTCCCCACCCTTGTTCCAGTCCCTGCTCATCCCTGGCTGCTGCAGTACAGCCACCCAAATCCTGGTTCCCCACTGGAATGTTGCATTTGGGGGTTATCTCTGCTGAAAGCAGCCATGACTCCATCCTAGAGGTTCAGATAAGGGAGGGGGTGATGGCCAGGTGTCAGCCTGGCTGTGGTAGAGCTGTTTATTTCAGTGGTTGGGACCATGGAACAAGCAAACAGGAAGCAGGAGCATATTTAGTTTGTCAAGTGAAATAACGATGATCATCTCTATCTAAAGTTCTGCCTTTGTGGTAATTTGTGTGTTGTGTTTTTGAAGTTAAAAGGTCTCACCTTATTTATGCTGTTACAGTCTGTCCAGGTGAATGCAGCTGTGTTCAGTTCTGAGTGCGTGTTAAATTCATTTGTGGAGAAAAGAGTGAAGTGAAAGGTTAAATAACTTTGTAAATGCAGCTATAAAATGTTATTGACCACATGGGGGTGGGGGAGGAAGAGGTGAAGGCTTGATTTTCAAAGGCATTTATTTGAAAATTTTTACAATGATGGAAGGGCAAGTGATCCCAGACTTGTGCAGCTGAGTCTGTGCGTGCAAACATCCAGCACTTTGGCAACTCTCAAAATTTTCCAGTGAAGAACTTTGGAAATCTTACCTTATTTTGAAAAGTGCAAATCTTTGCTTAGTGAAAACTCCTCCCTCCCATCCAGAAATGTATTTCAGATTTTTTTTTTTCTTTTCCCTGTCAGGGAAATGTTTACAGTAGCACGTGTTGAATATAAAGCATTTTCCTCTGTTGCATTTAGTCTTTTGGTTGTTTTTCATAGCTGAGCCGGCTCAGCCGCCTTCTGCCTCTAGCAGTGGCAATTCTGATGATGCAATTCGATCCATTCTGCAACAAGCCCGACGAGAAATGGAGGCACAGCAGGCTGCCCTTGAACCTGCCTTAAAAACACCACCTCTATCTCAAGCTGACATTTCTATCCTGTCCCCTAAACTAGTGTCTACACCTGCAATGTCTTCGGTTTCCAGCTATTCTCCTTTGGCCATATCCCTGAAGAAACATTCATCTGTCACTGATTCCAGTATCTCTGCATTGCAGAACCTCTCTGGGCTCAAAAAGGAGCCTCAGGAGGCACCTGTTCTAGAGCTTCATGGAATGAGTGATTCTGCCCAGGGTATGTTGAGGCATGTTAAAAATGAGTTGGGACGTGGTGGTGTTTGGAAGGACCATTGGTGGAATACTGTGCAGCATGAGAGAAGAAATGCAGCTCTTCCTGAAGATATAAAAGTTGAGGAAGCCAGTGGTGGAAAAGAAAAGGTCAGCAATCAGACTAGGCCAGATCGTAGCCAGCTCCAAGGACCGTCTTCTTCCGAGTATTGGAAAGAGTGGCCAAACGCGGAATCTCCGTACTCACAGAGCTCTGAATTGAGCATGACTGGGGCGAGTCGCAGTGAGACACCACAAAATAGCCCCCTCCCTTCATCCCCTATCGTGTCCTTGTCCAAGCCATCCAAACCTTCGGTTCCTCCACTGACACCCGAGCAGTATGAGATTTATATGTACCAGGAGGTGGATACCATAGAGCTAACGCGGCAGGTCAAGGAAAAGCTAGCAAAGAATGGCATCTGCCAAAGGATCTTTGGGGAAAAGGTAAAGAAGTGGTTCTCTCTTGTTTCAGAGTGTTGTGATTGTGCCCTCTGCCCCTTACACGGGTGCAGAGCCACAGGGGGATGTGCCACGGGTGTCCCATGGAAAAATGGTTTTGCTCCGTGTGTGAAGTATTTCAAAACTAAGCTCCCCAAAGTATTCCCCGTGTGGTAGGAATTGCAAGGGTTTTTATACAGGGATTGGCTTCAGCCACTTGGAATTAGGAATGGGGCCCCGAGTTTAGAAAACTTGAAAGCTGAAGCAAACGTTGCTGAGACTCAATATTTTATGCTTAATGTAATGAATTCGTGGAATATTTGAGTAATATCATTGTCATGACTGGAGAGTCTTAACTTTGTTATAAGCAAAGATTATGGACACGAGAGCATTTTTCCTTTTTCGTTATTATTTGGAAATGTGCACAAGGGCATTAAAACAAACACATGGAAAATCCCCTAATTCTCCTTAGTCTGAAGTCAAGAATTCCAAGTCATTTCTGATACCTGGTGCTCAGTACCTCAGTGTGCTCTGAGATGTTTTAGATCAATGTTTGATTACAGATAAGGCTCCCTGAAGTTCTCACTTTATGAGCCCTAAGCACTGAGCACGTGGGATTTTGAGGGTCCCTAACCACCAGAAAACCCCTCCCAGGCTGTAAAAAGTGTTGGACATTTGTTGTTTCTTCTTCCTATAAAGAACTGAATCAATATAAAAGCGTAATAGGAGCTGGCATTGCACTGTTACCTTCTCACGAAGATGTAAAATGAAAAGTCTGACCTCTTGGGGTCATTAAAGATCCCATGGCAGCTTTCATTAAGTATGATTTTTAACTCTTGTACTTGTGCTGAATTCCAGGCAAGTAATTGCATTCTGCCTGTCTGAAATTCTCCCCCCTACCACTGCGGTTGGCTGTATTCTTAAATATTTACTTATGTGGAGCAGCCGCTGCTACAGGTAAAAACACACATCGTTATAATTCACCCCCCAAAAATCAGCCAAATATAGGCCTAGTCTCAAAAGTCCCAATTATTTTTGTTTGAGAACAAAATACATGCCAGTCATTGCCTGTTTCATCTGCCTGTGTGTGCCTGGACTCGGTGTTTTTCCTGTTAAAACTGATGAAACTGTTTGACACAAAATATGAAAAGCATGCAAATCCCTCACCAGGCTGCTGCCACCCAGATCCTGCAGGAAAAACCCACCTTCCTTCAGAAGGCAACACGGCAGGAAGAAAAGCATTTCCATCAGGGTATCCACAGAAAGCAGTTTTTATAATTGTCCATATACAAACAATTTGAGCGATGCAGTAAAGGAAACCAAAATGATTTAAATTCCCCCCATTTCCACTGCCAGTGTGTTAACGTGCCATTCTTGGTTGCTTCACTTCAGGTATTGGGGCTGTCCCAAGGAAGTGTCAGTGACATGCTCTCCAGGCCAAAGCCATGGAGCAAATTGACCCAAAAAGGCCGAGAACCATTTATTCGTATGCAGCTCTGGTTGAATGGTGAGCTGGGACAGTGTGTCCTGCCTGCACAAGGGCAGCAACAAGGACAAGGTAATTAAAATTCCACTATGTTGTTTGAGTCGAGGAGGAGGAGGAGATTTTTTTTTCCATTTTTTTTTTCTATTTTCTGTATTTTTTTTTATTATTATTTTTTTTAAATTTGCAGTAAGCCAGCCTTGCACCAGTGCTGGTCCAGGCGTTCTGGAAGTGGCACCATCCACCCTGGCAGCCCAGCCTGTCCCTAAGGGAACGTGCTGGGAATGTTTACCAACGTTTATGTGTAATTGATAAGCAGCAGTTATCAAGTTCCTCATTAGGGTGATATTATCTAGGCATGAATATGACACACAATCCCAAAAATTTTGGCCAAAGAGCTGGAAAATGTTGCGCGCTGTTTCCTAGGGTTGCACAGGGGATTTGGATTGTTCCAGGGAGAAATATCGATTGCTGTCTCAGGAGGTGAGCTGGAAAACTAAGCTTTAAAGGGGGAATTCTGGGTTGCAGTGACACTTTTATTGTGGCTGTCTCTTCCCCTAATACCTATTGACACAGAAAAGCCAGGCTGGAGGCTGGCCTGGGTCGTACCTTTCTGTGCCATGACTTAACTGAACAGCGAGCCCTTGCCGAGATCAGCACTTTGCTATTTGTTGAGCCTGCTTACTGTTTAGTTTGTGGTTTGGCATCTCCTTTTATTGTTCCCTGATTTTCCTCTCCTCTCTTATCTAGTCCTTCACTCTGTGACATCATTACAGGATTCCCTACAGCAGGGATGTGCAAGCTCAGGTAATCAGCTGGTTTCAATGATTTGCTCTGAAATAATTCTCTGTGCTTTTGTTGCATTTGCTTTGATGCTGAGAGGTTTCTCACGTTTTGTTGTATCATACAGGAGTCCCTTCAGTTTTTTTTATTAATGCAGTTAATTCCTCCTTCTCTCCTTGTTGCTATGGCAGATGTAGGGAGCACACATATTTAGCTGCATATATTAGGTAAAGAGACTCTGTCTGATCTTAGAGATCATTGGCTCTGTAAGGGGTTTTTTTTGCCATAGTTCAGCTTATCAATGTGACATGTGACAATGGCTGTAAAACAAGCCCTTGGTTTGTAATGTGATCCACATACTCCAGCTGCCTCACTCACTGGTAGGTTTTTTTCCACTCTCCTTTGCACAAAATCTGCTTTGTTAATCCGAAGGTGGGGAACCACGTTATGTCTTTTTCAAGCTTTGTTAAATATTCCCAGCTGACCTTTTTTTTTCTCCTTTCCATTTGCAAAAAATACAAATAAAAAAGCAGATGCAGCAAAGCTGAGTGTCAGGGAAGTGAGTGGCTGAAGGCTTTAGAGATGGTCACAGGATAGGAGGGAGAGAACAGCTGTGTTCCTGCTGTTAGATACCAAACTCTACCCACACAGCCTCTTAGCAGTGAAATGCTTCACTGACGTAAAACACTCCAGAAAAATACCCATGCCCTGCTCTGTGCTTACAGCCAGCACCCTGTGCTGGAGAATTGCTGCATTTCAGGGCACAGACAGGGATGTGTTGTGCTCTTCTTGCACCTTTCTGCTATTCTGAAATACTCCTTTTTTTCTGCAACTCGCTGGCTTTACTCTAAATATCCCAACCAAAGTGCTTTTTTCTCTCTACTGGGGAAACTGTTTTGCATTCTAAAAGATTTTACTAGGAGAAAATTCGTTATGATATTCAGTCCACGTTTTTCTTAAGGAGAGCAGTTGAAAATAAATACATAAAAGCATTAAAAAAAATGCCCCCAGTAAAAAACAAGCCATGAAAACAAAACCAAAATGGGAGAAAATTATTTGCAATCATAGGGCTATTGTTACTTATAGCCAAGCATTTAGGGAACATGGAAATTTCCTGTGATGGTTCATTAAAAACATGCCATTGAGTACTTTTTTTTTTGTGGCATCAATGCTGTGCAAGAGTGTCACAGTCACAAACGCCTGAGACGGCGTGGAAAATATGAGTAATTAATTGTAGCCATTTTAGGGGGAATTTGAAATCAGAGGAGCTGGGAAATGCTGCATTGTTATTGCTAATCTTCATATTTATGACTAGCTCTAATTATAAAAGATGGAAAGACAAGCCCATAGGATTAAAATCCAACCACCTTCTGGATTCCCAGGGGGATTGCTGGGAGCTGAAAGTGATTTCCTTCAGGAAGTTCAGTTTTGCTGCTGGGATATTTTGTTCCCTCCCACACTCCCAGTGTCGTTTGTCAGTTCCTGCCCTTGAGCTAATATTTTGTGAGGTGACACGTTCCTATCAGCTAATAAAATCATGTTATTGATGATTGTCCTCCTTCATTCCTTAAAGCCGACTTACAAATGAGAAAATGGGCTCGTGCCCTTTTCTACCTCCTCTCAGAGGATTAAAAATAGAATTGTTGTACAAAATGTTCTTTTCTTGGTGCCTTTCTCTGTGTGAAGGAATAAAGAAGGTTGTGACACCAGGCAGAACAAAAGAGCAAAAACCAAGTTATTTGAATGAGGAAGGGCAGTTTGGTAATTTCCTTTTATTAGCAGCTGTTCTGTAATTAAAAATGCAGCAAACAGTTTGGAAAAGGTAATAATAATTATGCATTTGTGAAAGATCCATCACTCCAGGGCAAGGAGAGAAAAAAAAAAAAAAAGAGAGAGAGACAGCTCCAATTTTCTGGTCTTCTGAGACATTTCCCAGGAAAATCAAGGCAGAGAAGGTTGCATACTTGTAATTTTAAAACAGAAATTAATCAGAACAATTTTGAAACGAGGAAAGGTCTGGAGCCTTTTTCATGTAATATAATTGGCTTGGAACTTGTTGAATGCATGAAGGGAAAGAAGTGAAATTAAACTAATACACTCAGTGGCTCCTGAGTGCTTTGCCAAGAAGGTCTTCAGTGTACAGAGTGTCAACATGCATAGTAACGACTCAAACTTTTATTAACTGGAAATATTTTCATTACTCTTTGGCTCTATTCTATTAAACTAGCAAGATTTTCTGGATTTCTGACCCAGTTAGTTACACTTCTAGATCATAAGGTTTTGATTAACACCTCATTCATGAAAATCTCACCTTTTGTCCAGTAATTTTCCATTTTCATGTGTGGACAGATGGGCCTATCAGTGTTTCATATAATGAATGGATAAACATATATATATTTCATATTTATTTTTATATATATATATATGTTGTGATAGCAAAGAGAAGCCAGGCTTGGTTTTCTTCTTTGGAATCTGTATTCATGAATTTTATAAAAACAGCCTGTGCCAAAATGACAGCAAGGTATATACCTGTATTTTCTGCCTGTGAGCTTTCCTCAAGGCTTTGTGATTTTGTGCAAGTTTCAGGGAACATGTTTTAGATGAAAATGGTGTCTGTACCCTAGGTGGTCAAAAATAGTATTGCTATGCCTTTTCTAACATTTTTCTGTGTATTTCTTTCCACCTAAATGCTCTAATGCCCTTGGGTAAATCTGCCTTTTTAATGATTTATGTGTCAAAAGCATGGACCAAATCACATGGAAAAAAAAGTTGAATTAGTGTCACCCAACTGCATCAGCATTTTTTCATGATGAATTTGGCCCTTATTTAGTTGCATTACTGCTGATGGGAGCCAGGGTGGGTTTGAACAGTTGCCATGTGCCAGGAGAAGGCTCAGATATTTTTCTAAATACTCGTACTGTGCACAGCTTTTATTAGTTGGTTTTATTTGGGGGGTTTGTGCCGCGTATCTGTAGGAGATTGAGACAGAGTTTCCTTTTCGGTGCTGTTCATTCCATGGCTGCTCGCAGGAAAGCTGAATTTTTACATTCACTTCTTTCTTTACCCTCTGTGAAGGACATACACTCTCTATATACTACATTAAAGGCTTGCAAATACTCAGTGGGAAGAAGACGTGCCTTTTTGGTGTGTGTTTCTGTAAGGGTCGTCTTATGACCTAATGTGGAAATCTTCATTTGCCGATACAGCTGCGGGTGATCTCAGGGGATTTTGAATTTCCCTTTTGTTTGTCTTCCTTTCTGGGTATCATCCATCATTCCTAACCTCATGCTGCTTAGCAATAGTAACACTCATGGGAGTTGAAGAAAGGATTATAGCAGCATAAAGTGGGGAGCTAATTAGAGCTTGTTTCAAAATCAGAATCTAGCTTGAGATAATTGCGTATTATCTGGTGATTTAAAAACGCGAGATCTACTGTATTTAGATCAACTAAAATATGCATGAAAGCTTTCTTTTAAAAATAAAGTGTTTGTAACAACGGGGAGATTACTTCTTGTCATCCCTTGGGAACACGAATCAGAAAAATCTCAGGATGCTCAGTGTCATTATATTAACAGTGAGATCGGGGTGTGATGGCAAAGCCAGGTGTCCCCTGTATTTTTATTTATGTAATACAGATTCCTGTAACATTTGCCAATGCAGGAGCTGCTGAGTGGGCAGGAAGTTAACTGTGTGCTGGGTGGATATTCCCATTTCCCTGATACCAGGAGAATTCTGTCACGTTGGCTACTCTGGAAGAAAAAAAGTAGGGAGAGAGAGTGTGTTTCAGGCTGGCAGCCCAAATTCAGGAATACCATCCTGATGTATGTAGTAGCCTTGTGGTGGAGAAGCTCTTGCCCCCATTTCCCTGTGTTTTATCATCTTTCCTTGCATTGTTCTGGTTTGTTTGGGTGGGCAGAGCTCTCCAATGGTGCTCCAGAGCACAGTTGGGATTAGCACAGGGAGAGCTGAATCCTTACACTGTGACATCACCAAAGTGATTGGTACAGTGAGGCTGACAGACTTTCCCAAATTGGAACTGGTTTTTGTTGTTCAATAAAAAAAACCAAGAGAGAGATGGTTTTGCAGTCATTTGCTGGCATTCCAGGTTAATAAAAATGTATGACATGGAATGTTTGTGGTTAATGTAGTCTGTGAAATGGAAGAGAAGGGAGATCACATGGCTCAGACAGCAGACTGCAGGAATTCCTTGCAGAGATGTTTTGTGTTTGATGACCAGTTATTGAGTCTTGGACTTGGGAAAGTTGTGGCCTTTTGTGCTAGGTGCAAATGTGGTTTTAAAGTTCAGAGCTGAACAACTATGTCAGCCAAAGAGTTACCTTCATTCTTATCCCTGGAGCACCCTGGCACATCCTGGTGAGTTTCCACATTCTTTCTGTGTGGTTTGGGATTGGGCTCAGGAGCAGTTGTCCGTGGCTGTCTTGATTTCAAACCATAGGGTATGAGCTGGCACCTCACAAGGGCAGCTGTTGTAGTCTGTCTGTAACGTGTGTGATCATCTTCTGTGCCATTTCCCTGACATTTGGACCATGAAAACCTCCCTGGCAGCCTTGCTGGTATCAATAAAACCAGGAGAATCGCTGTCAAGGCACCTCACTGGGACCTGGGAATGCAGCATGAAGTCAGTGCCTCGTGTTGATTCTGAACATGACATTGGCTCTGATTCCTGGCCATCAGCTGGGCATTGCTGCCCACAGCCCTGCTCTTTTTCTGTCAGTGATGCTTTGCAAACAGTCAGTATTTGTGGGGAAATTCCTACCCTGGATGTATTCTTCTCTGTCCATGGAACCACCCAGTGATTAAATTTGCAGAAGACAACTCCATCCTCACTGTGGTCACAGCTTTGCTGTTACAGAAGGGCTAAAGTAAAAGATAAAATCAGGGAGTGAGCGCTGTTTTCTAGGTAGATACTCCTTGTGACTCAGTTACAGTGTTCATGTTAATGCAGCAAAGAGGAGACCTGTGCTGGATTCTGAAGGCAAATTTAATTCGCTCCAAAGTGCAGT